AGTATAAAAGGGCACCTGCTGAATACGTCACCAACTTTTGTTGTCTTCAGGAACCGTCTGTTTGAAGTGCGTGTGAGAGACCAAGGCAGGTAAGCGCTGTGGAAAGTGTGTGCCTCCGTGCCCGAGGTTTCTGTCACTTGAGGACACACACGATCTATGCGTCATGTATCTTGGTCAGGAGCTTGCGCGTTCAGTGCTCAAGGGCTCTGAACGTGCTCATTGTGAATGTTTCCAATGAGAAGCTCTGTTCGCGTTTGTCCCTCTTCTCAAGTGATGAGTGACAAGCGTTTGCGTCTCGCGGTTCGGGTCCCACTGCTGCCGAGGCACGGCGAAGACTCGGATCGCGGGATTCGCGGCTTAGGACACACGATCTATGCGTCATGTGTCTTGGTCAGGAGCTTGCACGTTCAGTGCTCGAGGGCTCTGAACGTGCTCATTGTGAGTGTTATCCAATGAGAAGCTCCATTCGCGTTTGTCCCTCTTCTCGAGAGATGAGTGACAAGCGTTTGTGTCTCGCGTTTGTGTCTTGTGTTCGGGTACCACTGTTGCCAAGGCACGACGAATACTCGGATCGCGGGATTAGCGGGGTGAGATGCCCTTTTTCTGGTTATCGGATCCCGCGGATAGCGCTCGAGTCGAGCAGCGCCTTAGGGACTGTGTGCCTCCGTGTTTGGATTCTAACACTCGAGGGCATGTTCTGCTTTCGCGTTTGTCTTGGCGAAAGAGCACGCGCATTCAGAGTTACGCACTCATTGTGATGAGTCACGATGTCTGGGCTCTGCTCGTGTTTGTTACTATTCCTTTCCTACAGCCTAGCTATCTAAGGATAGCTATGTGCTAACTCAGTGATTGCTCCCCTGCTTAGGGTTTTAAGTAGCAGTCTTTTGAGCCCTTACCTGGACAGTGCTGTCTCCCCTTTTGGTTCGTAAGTAGACAGCCCACTCTTTGTGGTCTAGGTAGTTTCAGTCGAGCCCCCCCTCTGGTAGACCTTCCTAGGTACATAGCTATCTGAGGATATCTGTGTGCTAGCTCAGTGACTGCTCCCCTTCCTAGTGTCTTTAAGTAGTGGTCTCCTTGAGCCCTCGCCTAGATAGCGCTATCTCCCCTGCTAGGGTTGTAAGTAGATAGCCCACTCTTTGTGGTCTGGGCAGCCTCATAGGATGGTTTACCTGGCTATTTAGTAGCTGTGCGGGACTAGCTGTTGATAGCTCAGTGATTGCTCCCCTTCTTAGGGTTTTTAAGTAGCGGTCTCCTTGAGCCCTTACCTAGACAGTACTGTCTCTCCTGCTAGGGTTGCAAGTAGACAGCCCACTATTTGTGGTCTGGGTAGTTTCAGTCAGTCCCCTTTCTGGTAGCCCTTCCTAGGTGCATAGCTATCTGAGACTGATGATCTGGATCTCCCTCTTGTGAGAGCTTGGTCAATAGCAAGTGCTTTGCTAGCCTACTGTGGGACTGACACGGATTGGGGACCTCCTTAATATAGCTTTCTGAGGGTGGTTTAATTCCAGCCATTGTTTTTGGCAGGACAGGCTTATTTGAATACAGCTATCTGTGGCTAGCTGTGTTCTACTGCAATTGCGGTGAGCCCTCTCATGGAGTGGGCCCCGATTGCTCCCCTTCTTAGGGTTTTTAAGTAGCGGTCTCCTTGAGCCCTTACCTAGACAGTACTGTCTCTCCTGCTAGGGTTGCAAGTAGACAGCCCACTATTTGTGGTCTGGGTAGTTTCAGTCAGTCCCCTTTCTGGTAGCCCTTCCTAGGTGCATAGCTATCTGAAGATATCTGTGTGCTAGCTCAGTGACTGCTCCCCTTTTTAGGGTAGACAGCTCACTCTCTGTGGTCTGGGCAGCTCCGTAGGAAGGCTATCTTGGCTATGCTATTCTGGTCCACAAGCCTTCATAAGACCTTAGGGACATAGCTATCTGAGGATAGCTGTGTTCTAGCTCAGCAGCTACTCTCTTTACCTGGGATTTAAGTAGCATCTTTTGAGCTCCTCTAGAGGCTTTCTAGTTGGCCTTCTCAGTGGTCTAGTGTATCCAGGCTAGTTCTGCTCACATAGCATAGCTATCTGAGGATAGCTGTGCTCTTAACTTGGATGGGATGTTCCCCTTGATCTATT